GGAAGGGGATCTATGTAGGAGATCCTTGATAGAGAGGGAGAACAATGTGGGACAAAACTCAAAATCATTTGGAGAAAAAAAAAAAAAAAAGGCAAGGGACTTGAATTTCAAAATCAATTCTGTAGCTACATTGAGGTTGATCACACTCTGCTCCCTTCCCATTATCCTCAGCTCTCAGATTAAGTTTGTCAGTAAAGCTCCGGCCCTAAACTCTTGCGAGGAAGATGTTTTTCTGCCCCAAACCAACCCCCACCATAAACATTTCACGGGCTACTGAGCTGCGGAAAGCTGAGACTGCCAAATTTGGATTCTGGGATTCCCAGGACATCAGGTCAAGCAACTGAGAAGTCCACCCAGGGGTAAATTCCACAGATGGTTTCTTCTCTCTCTGGAATCAGTGCGTTGACATCTGGTTTACTCAGATCGTGCACATAGACACGGTTTCTAACCTCAGAAAACAGCTGGGAATTTTGCTCAATGCCCTGGGACGGTGAGCAGGCGTTCATAGAAACCGGTGCTCCAAATACAAGCTCTGACAGGCGGTTAGCATGAGCACGGATAAGGCAGGAGCAAGCTCGAACTTTACTTTGGATCTCTGGGGTCTGCTGTACTTTGGAGAGTTCTCTTTACTTTTAGATACGTTTTAAAATAGGATTTACCCGGAGGAAGGAGGTGTAGAATGGCAATGCACTCAGTTGGAAAATAAATATGTTCAAACATTCTCCTCAGATTCTTCACAAACGAAGAAGGAAGAGGAAACGTGGAAAATCCAAGTTTAGCATTAAAATAAAGGACTTGACTGCAAGGATTCCGTAGATACTTTGTCTAGAGTTGTTGACTAGCCGGGAGCAGATCCCGCTTTAACACGCTTGCAAACGCACAAACTGTGGCCACGCCTCCGCGCCGGAACGTAAAACGTGCGCCGGGAGCGGGCGGGAGGCTGGCTGCGCATGCGTTTTCGTTGCATCAGCTACTTGGTCTGTGCTGGCGGATGAAGCCGGCTGAGTGTACGTGTTTGTACCGAATTTTGTGCACCAGATTGGCGCGGCACGATCAAGACTGAAAAATGAAGGGCTACTAGAGTAAGTACTCCCGTCGGCCGCAAAAGTCGGAGTTAGAATATTTCCTTTCCGCCGGGCGAGTGCTCATCGGAACCGGACCCCGCCCCCTCTCTCCTTCCTTGCCCTTTTCCAGGTAGGGACCCGCTCTTGTTAGGGCTGTGAGGCTCTACCGAGATAATGAAGCTCGTAAGAAAGGACATTGAGAAGGACAACGCGGGCCAGGTGACCCTGGTCCCTGAGGAACCCGAAGATATGTGGCACACTTACAATCTAGTGCAGGTGGGCGACAGCTTGCGCGCTTCCACCATCCGCAAGGTGCAGACCGAGTCCTCTACGGGCAGTGTGGGAAGTAACCGGGTCCGCACGACCCTCACCCTCTGCGTGGAGGCCATCGATTTTGACTCTCAAGCCTGCCAGCTGCGAGTCAAGGGGACCAACATCCAAGAGAATGAGTATGTCAAGATGGGGGCTTACCACACCATCGAGCTCGAGCCCAACCGCCAGTTCACTCTGGCCAAGAAGCAGTGGGATAGTGTGGTCCTGGAGCGCATTGAGCAGGCCTGTGACCCAGCTTGGAGCGCTGATGTGGCGGCTGTGGTCATGCAGGAAGGCCTCGCCCATATCTGCTTAGTCACTCCCAGCATGACCCTAACTCGGGCCAAGGTGGAGGTGAACATCCCTAGGAAGCGGAAAGGCAACTGCTCCCAGCATGACCGAGCCTTGGAGCGATTCTATGATCAGGTGGTCCAGGCCATCCAGCGCCACATACACTTTGATGTAGTCAAGTGCATCCTGGTGGCCAGCCCAGGCTTCGTGAGAGAGCAGTTCTGTGACTACATGTTTCAGCAAGCAGTGAAGACTGACAACAAATTGCTGCTGGAAAACCGGTCCAAATTCCTCCAGGTAAAACAGTCTTACCCAGGGATCTTTAAGAATGGGCAGAGGGATCAGCATAGACTCCTGCTAAAGTTTTATTAAAAATAAAGTAAAGGAAGAAAAAGCCTCTACTTGGCTGGGATTGCAGTTGTAAATGAATGAATGAAATACAGTTCTTTCTTTCTTTTTTTTTTTTTTAACTGTTAATAGCTCCAAATTTATAAAGTAATTTTTGCTGAAACTCTTAAACATATGTAAAGCCTTATTAGTGCTTTTGGTTTTAGGTCATTGTGGGCTGATGAGTGTGTTCCCTAAGAAACTTGTTGTCTAACTTTTGTAATTGTGATTCTAGGTACATGCCTCCTCTGGACACAAATACTCCTTGAAAGAGGCCCTTTGTGACCCTGCTGTAGCTAGCCGCCTTTCAGACACTAAAGCCGCTGGGGAAGTGAAAGCCTTGGATGATTTCTATAAAATGTTACAGCATGAACCTGACCGAGCTTTTTATGGACTCAAACAAGTGGAGAAAGCCAATGAGGCCATGGCAATTGACACATTGCTTATCAGCGATGAGCTCTTCAGGCACCAGGATGTAGCCACACGGAGCCGGTATGTGAGGCTGGTGGACAGTGTGAAAGAAAATGCAGGCATGGTTAGGATATTCTCCAGTCTTCACGTATCTGGGGAGCAGCTCAGCCAGTTGACTGGAGTAGCTGCCATTCTCCGCTTCCCAGTCCCTGAACTCTCTGATCAAGAGGACGATTCCAGTTCTGAAGAGGATTAATGATTGGAACTTAAAATTGAGACTGCCTTATGCCTCACCGCTTCACTGTTACATGTCCTCAGCATCCTTGTGACAAAGCTATAAGAATGTCATTTTTGATTCCCACAGGGATTTCTGACTTATGATCATATAAGGTCACAACCACATTTTCTGATTGGCAGGACATTTATTCAAACCAAAAAATAAACTAGAAAAGAAAGAAATCTCCATGTATTATCATTTATTAATTGGGATAATTTCATATAGGAAGTTATTTGCAGTGCTTAGAAAAGTTCTGTGTATTTAATAATACCTATATATTATTTGGGTTGTATCTTAAAATCCCATGCTGTGTGCTTTGAAATTGTTTTTTTCCATAGGAAAAGTTTTGACCTCATTCTCAGTTTACATTGTGTTTTGTTTTCATTGTGCATAATGTACTTGCACTTCATTTAACGATCCTTTCTGCCTCTACCTCCCTCATACTCCATTTTTTTAATGTTTAAATTTATTGGGTATTTAAATGATAGCCAAACAATGAAGAGACTTTTCTTGAGGACGTTTAAAATATTTTCTTAAGAGACTTGTTAAACAATCACGTGAAAAGTAAACTCTTGGGTTTTTTTAGTTACTAAAAGTAATCATGTTTGCTTTAGAGGATCACTTAATCAACTGTTCTTAGACCATGAGTTTTTGATCTGCCAGAGATTCTTAAGTAACCTAAATAAGGCCTCTTCATTTTTAAAATGAGACCTGAGGTATGGCTTACTGGTCATATGGCTGTTTGGTAGACAAAGCTGAAAGTAGCTTGTAATCCAGACCCCACTTACACACTATTTTTGGTGGGGGATGGGGACTTGTAAAAATTGTATTTAATACTATTTTCTCTTTGTACGTAGCACTAGGCATTGTGCTTCCACATTCTTACTGTACTTTCACCACATTCTATCTTAGGGATGAGAAAAAACTTTCAGAAAGTTTGAGTAACAGGCAATCATTAGTATGTGGAAGTTGACTTGTATTCCGGTAAACCAAAAAGAAAAAAAAACCATTCCCATCAAGTCCGCTCCATTCATGGCGATGGTGCCGCATGTTAGGATAGAAGTACTCCGTAGGGTTTTCTTGGTTGTAATCTTTACGGAAATGATTTGCCAGGCCTTTTATCTAAGGAGCTGCTGGGTAGGTTTGAACCACCAACCTGTAGCTCAGCAGCCAGTCGCAAACTACTTGTGTTACCCAACAGCCTTTGTACTGCCAAAAAAAAAAAAAAAGAAACTGCTGTCGAGTTGGATCCAACTCATAGTGACCCCTTCTTGGATTTCCAAGGAGGTATCACTATGGGAGTAGATTGCCCAATCTTCCTTCCAAGGAGTCGCTGGTGGATTTGAACCACCAGCCTTCTGGTTAGCAGTCAAATGCCTTAGGCACTACACTACCAGAGCTACTGTTATATTTAGGGAATTTCTGCAAACACCAGGGAGTTTAAATGATTTTATTTTCCATGTGCATTTCTAAAAGTCAAGGAGAGAGCCTTAGGGATGGAATTGCTACAAACCTCTACTTGGTGAAATGATTAGGAAATGTTTTATAAAGAAAGTGGTACTTCAGTTTGTAACTACAGAGTCATTTATGACTACTTGAAGTAAAGATATTAAGTAAAATTTTGCTTGTCCTCTCTATGCTGTTGCAGGTGCCAATTCTGGGCATTATTTTTTACAGACTTAAACTAAACTGAATCTTTTTATCTGTAGTTTAGGACACATACATTCTTTAAAATCATACATATTTTTTATAATTACCCCCAGTCCAAAAATAATTCAGATTGTCATTTATTTCATTACAGTAAAAGAATATTTTACTTTAAAGCATTATAAAATCCTTCACATATTTTTATGATAAGGTGTTATTACATAATTTAGGAGGCGTAGAGAATGAGAGAGTACTTGGGTGGTAGGAACAGTTAACACCCTTGGCTGCTAATGGAAATTTGGAGGCTCACATTACCCAGAGGCCTCTTGGAAGAAAGCCCCAGTGGTCTGCTTCTGAAAAGCACTGAAAACTATTTAGCACCGTTCCACTCTGGTACACATGGGGTCTCCTGAATCAGAATTGACTCCAAGACAATTAGAAGTGGATAGAATAGAAACTGCTGAGATTCTTAAGTTTAGAACCTGATTGATAATAAATCATATTAGAATTTTGAGATTTCAGGCATCTGTTACTCTGATAATCCATTCATTATTGGTTTTTCCTACCCTATATTCTGTGGTAAGGAGCTCTGGTGGCATAGTGCCTAAGTCATTTGACTGCTAACCAAAAGGCTGCCAGTTCAAATCCACCAGCTGTTCGGTGGAAGGAAGATGGGACAATCTACTTCTGTAAAGATGTACTGCCTTGGAAACCTGGTGAGAGTCACTATGAGTCAGTCAACTTGATGGCAGTGAGTTTGGTTTTTGGTTTATAATCTATGGTAATAGAAGCCAGGGGAAATTAATCCTATAGATAAATCTAACCAATACATTTTAGGCTATAAATCCACTGTCTGAGTTGATTCCAACCCATAGCACCCCCACATAGGGTTTCCAAGGCTATGAATCTTTATGGTAGCAGACTGCTTTGTTTTTCTCCCATGGAGTAGGGTTCACACCACTACAGTCCAGTGCCTTAACTGCAGCAGCACCAGAGCTCCTTATTTTAGGCTGTGTTTACCTTGGGAACTTTTAAAACTCTTAAGGTGCAGACTGGACCTCAGACTAACCTTTTACCCTAAGAAATGCTGCTTTTCGGTTTTTTGTTTTGTTTTGTTTTTTAGAGGGTCCCCGTCCAGGTAATTGCAATATGCATCAGGATTGAGAATGACTGATTGAGGCCTTGCTCTTCATAAGTGTGGTCTATGGTCCAGTAGCATCCTGCAAGAGCTTATTAGAAACTAGAATACGAAATTATACCCTAGACCTTTTGAATCAGAATCTACATTTTAACACCTCCAGGTGATTAGTGTGCATCATACAATCTGATAAAGAATAGGCAACAGCTTATCCCTTTCATGACCAAAGTATTTTTTGCTTTAAATTGTTTGTTAATAAAATTTTTTTCCATCAGTGGAATACATCCTGAATCATTCATTTAGTGTGTCCCTCTGGACTCCAGGGGAGTAGAACATACATCCCTCTGGGCTCTAGGGACAGGGTTGATGGTATACATAATGTCCCTGTAGATGCTGAGGGCTAGGATTGGTGAGATGCATATGTCTCATAGGCCTATGGGATGTATATTTCCCCATGGACTCTGTTACAGGTTTGTGGGACACATATGCCCTTACAGAATGTACCACCTCATACAAAACTGAAAAACCATACCCGCTGCCATCGAGTCCATTGGAAGTAGATTGCCTGGTTTTTCTTCTGCAGAGTGGCTGGTGGGTTTGAACTGCCAGCCAAATACCTTAGGCACTGAGCCACCACAGCTCCTTCCACCTCATACAATACCCTGTAAAACTAACTAGTGGCACTTGCCCCTCCTGATGACTGCATGTACTATCTGGGGAAGCAGCTCCCCATTAAAACCCAGAGGATGTCCCACGGGTCAGGAAAGGTTATTCTTTTACCAATGAATTTGTAGCTGGGATTGCCAACCATATAAAAAACAAAAAATACACGAGTTTTAAGGTCTTTTAAGAGTTAACTAGCTAGTATTCAATTCTTCTTAAAACCTTTCTAAATCTATTTTTACGTTTTTGAAATACTTAATTTTAAAAATCTTTAAAAATTCCTGTTTTTTAGAAGTTATATTTTATACCATTGTCAAGAGAAGTCTTCCTACGTGCATAGGTAGGAATATCAAAATAGTGGAAAAAAGTACCAATAACCACTTGCTGTTGTCCATTCTAACTCATGGTGACACATGTGCTTCAGAGTAGAACTGCTCGGTAGAATTTTCCATAGCTGTGGGTTCTTTCTAAAGTACATTGCCAGGCCCCTGGGTGGATTCAGGCCTCTTACCCTCTCCACCTGGAGAGTCCAAAGTAGTGATAAGCGAAAACCACTCACGGCCATTGAGACGATTCTGACTCATATTGAACCACCAACCTTTTGTTAACAGCCAAGTGCTTTAACCATTGCACCAAAAAAAGCTCCTTAAAATAGTGATACAAAATCAAACTCACTGCCATCAAGTTGATTCTAACTCAGTGACGACCCCCATTGGGTTTCCAAGGCTGTAAATCTTTATGAAAGCAGACTGCCTCATCTTCCATGGAGCGGCTGGTGGGTTCAAATCACCAACCTTTTGGTTAGCAGCCAAATGCCTTAACTACTACATCACCAGAGCACTCATAAAATAATGATGAGTATATAAAATTAAAGGAGCTTTGGTGGGGTAATGCCTAAGGCATTTGACTGCTAATCAGAAGACTAGCGGTTCAAACCCACCAGCCACTCCTTGGAAGGAAGATTGGGCAGTCTACTTCCGTAGTGATACTGCCTCAGAAACGCAGGTTAATTCTACTTACTATTGCTAACTAGTCTCCAACAAAATGAATCATAAATCTCTGGAAATCATATTGAAATGCCTAGTTCCAATTGCCATTCCTTGAAGAACCATTATATGGTAACAAATGAAAACATCAGTAACATACCTCTCAAATTAATGTCATGGACTACACATTTGCCTTTACCTTGGAAACAAAAGATATGCTTCCTCCCAGATTCAATGAATTGGATTATAAATTGTTTCATTTCTCTGTAGATACATTGTTGTTCCTGCGAGGTGCCCTGGAGTGGCCTGCGAGGTGCCCTGGAGTGGGTTCTGACTCATAGCAGCCCCATGCACAACAGAGTGAAGCATTGCTTAGTCCTGTGCCATCCTCACAATCATTGCTATGTTCAAGCCCGTTGTTGGAGCCACTATGTCAATCCATGAGCCTATTGTTGCAGCCACTGTGTCAGTCCATCTGGTTGAAGGTCTTCCCCTTTTCTGCTGTTCGTTCTTCCGTCAGTTAATGATAGTGGTTAATATTTGTTACCTCTCTCTCCATGCATAATCCATATCAAATTATATGTTGCTATTCCTGACCCCCCATTTATGTGTTAAATACCTTGCAAATTGTATGACTGGATTGTTGATCCTAGATTTTATTTTCATTATCGCATATTACCAGACCAAACTCACTGCCACTGAGTCAATTCTGACTCATAGTGACCCCCACTGAGTTTCCAAGGTCGTAAATCTTTGTG